GTAGCAAGTGCCTTAGAAGAATTAGACTTACAAAAAATTCTTTCGTCCGATTTATTATGGCGAGGGACGAAGCTCGGCAGCTTTGCAACCTAAAACTCTCCCTCCGCTCGCTAAGAAGCCCGTGAGGTCGAATTGATGGGTTTTTATTTTGTGTCGGTTTTATTAGCGAAATTGGCAGGCAGCCATAACAAGGGCTCACGGGATTAGTTAGGAAAACAATCAGCGAAGTTAGCCATGGAACCTTTTCTCAAAACGAAAGAGCTGCGACAAAAAGGGTTCCAATAAAATAAAAAGTTTTAAGGAAGTGCGAGGCTACTGAAAGAAATTAACCTAGAAGCACTGTTTATCGGTCGACGAGAGATGCATAGGCGAAATGAATAATCCCGGTGTTCTTGATTTGGGGCTTTTGTTTAAGGGTGCGGGTAAAATCGAATCCTATGATTTCTTTTCGTAACTGTTACAAGAAAATAATACGTATCAAAGGAAATTACACAGACCACAATTGCCAATCTGAAATTGACGAAATTTTTATTAACGTTTCAAGCAAAGTCAGTTGCAAAGTTTGGGAATTCGACAGGCCTCCAGAACTTGACTACAAAAATTCTCTCTTTCACTTTATTTTCCTTTGTGAAATACTTTGAAAAGTTTGTGACTGCGAGTGTAGAAGAGTAGAACTTTGTAGTTTCGTCGCATCTAAGAAGTGTAATTGGATCTGGGAGTATTTGCCACTAGTTTTGGTCATTAACAGCGCAAACAAAAAAGGAAGTTGTTTTAATCATGACAAATGGATGGCACTTCACGCAGGGCGATGCCCCAGACCCGGTCGAGGTTCTCTATCTTGTTCCCCGCTTCGCAGTTTAAGTTCGTATGAGACGAAAGAACAGAGAGTATTTTTGGAAAAAGCTGTTGTAGCAAGGTTTGCGAAATCAAAGGAAAATAGTTCCTTAGAAAACGTTTGCTTCGTTAGCTTGATTACGAGGCTCAACAAAAATAGAGGTATTTAACATGTCATTTACAGTTTATTGAAAAAACGAAAAAACAAAATAAAGAGAGAATAAAGAAAGAAAGAAAAATAACTAAAATAATCCAAAAAAAGATAATAATTGTTTTCTTTCTGTTATACTTAGAAAGGTAATATTTCAAGTTTTCCTCAAAAGTGTTCGTCAATGCCTCTTAATGCCAACCTTTCCTTAGCAACTATAAGTAGTACAATCTATGGCCAAGCATTTTGTGGAACTGGAGGTAGAAGTCCTCTCCAGATTTTTGGGAGTTTATGATGATGAAATGTGGGTCATGAGCCACCAATTTTATGTCTTTCCAAGAATTTATCTACAGCAGACACAGTGGCATTTCTTTCCAAAACTCTGTGAATGTGCAGGTCTCAGAATAGAACCACTCCATTGTGTACAATGTACAAAGCACAACAGCAACTTTTTCCAGATGGAACACATATTTTAATCAGCATCGTGGACACCTTTCCTCTGAATGTCCTGTAAGGAAAGAATAACAATGCAATAATAAGAAAAGAATAACCATACAATACAATAATGATATCAGAAGTGACCATAAATAGTAAGTTGTTAATTTTATCTAAAAGTTAAGATATTTATAATGCCCTTCTCTTTTCAAATTTAAAGTCTCCTAAAGAGGAAAGAAGCCTAAAGGGAACAGGATCTTCTTGCAATAATAGAACTTTTAATGTTGATGCTGATAATGATGATGATGATGATGGTGATGATAATGATGATGATGATTACGGTGGTGGTGGTTGTGGAGGTGTTAATAGGGAGCTTAAGCAACTACAACGACGACCACAACAACGACTTCCAAAAAACAATAGGTTTGATGATCGAAACAAAAGCCCTGCACCTGCATAATGCTTTTTAGTACATTTCTTTGACGTCCACTGCATGACTACGACATGAAGCCTCCTAATTTGACGTTTCATAGAGGATGTGGACATACGATTCCTTCTTCTTTTTGAACCTAGATAAAATCCTTTACGAATTCAACTCCAGGAAAAGTCACCCGCATTTGACATATTGAGGGGGTCCAAATAGACGTGATTAAGTTTGAAAGAATGCAAATTCATTTTTTTACCGACGGTTTCACTGCCATCATTGTCATCCTTGCTTAAGGTCCCTGATGATAGTGGTGGTGGTAGTGATATTGGTATTAGAGGTGTTAATAGTGATGATGGTGATGATGATGATGATGATGATGATGATGACCAACATTACAGGTCAACTTATGACATATAATATTACTAAGGAAATGTTCCCATTATTTATTAAATCAGTTAAAGAGAAACCATGATGTTACAATCCTTTGGGATATGTAGTCTGGCACAAAAAGCTCTGTAGCCAATGATTCCCACTGACGCTATATTCTGTCTAAAACACCAGACAACATTTAGAAAAAAAATTGGCTAAATGAGCAACCGATGCATCCACAATGCCCCTCAACCCCAACCACAGGATAACCAGAAAATCCTTTTTCATAATTGCATAAAAACAGAAGTGATACTGTCTGATAGAGTTAATCTGTCTAACATATCAAACAAAATCAGCACTCCATTTAATCTGAAAGTTGGAAACTTCCACTTTAAAATATACCAGTTGAGTGGAGACTACACCTTTTTCAAAGTACCTTCTGGATTTCTTCAGGGAATTCCATCAGGTTATCTTCAACACATGAAACACAAAATCTCTTCGTGTAGAAAATACTGCATGTCTAAAAGTAGAGAAGAAAAACTAATTAAAAATTTCCAACCAAGCTTATTAGTAAAATGGTTAGTCTCTCTCTGAAGTAAATACCAGTGAGAAGACAGGAGGCCCTGTACAGCCAGTATTTTTGATTATACAAAATAATGTACTTGATTTTAGGTTCAGACTAATCCTAAATTATCAATATCACTGCAACATAAATCACCAGTACAGGGGTAATTTTCAGTGCGGAAATGAACAGTACTATAAACCCCCTGTGGGGGGGGGGGAGGGGATGGTGGGGGTGGGGGTGGGTATACCTTATATAAGCCATAAGCCAAATAGGTAAATGTCACCCCATCGGGTAGGGGTTTTGCACCAATAATATGGTCTAAAAACGGGTATACACTTGGCGCATTTTGGTCTGGAATTGGGTATGGTTTTTGAGAGACCTATGGAGTGTATGAACGCATTTATCGTTTCAGTTCCAAATGAGTAAGAAAGAAAGTGAAATATGCAAATTCCAAATGGATTGGATTAATTTGTTTGTTTGCACTCTTACTTTTCTAAGTAATGATAACATAATTTCTGCCTAAAGGCCAGGTCTGAAAACAGGTACAGGATTTTAGAGAGCTAGTCTGAAAATGGGTGTGGAAAATTACATTTTTTGGTCTGATATCGGGTCAGGATTTGAAGAACGGGGAAGCACACCCCCATCAAGAATTCCCAGGAGTACCCCCACTGGGTCTAAACCAAATCCCACTTAGCCAGAAGAGCCTTTCTTTCACTTGCTTGATTTTGGCATACTTGAGAAAGACTCTACAGGAATCGCATAAGATCTTTGTGGAGCATGTACAGCATGTTGGTAGGAGACCATTTTGAACCCAGGCCTAATAGTTGCGCCCTTTGCCTATCAGGGTCAGTTACAGAGATGCCAACCTCTAGAGATCTAAAATCTGAAGAATCTATCTCTTGCAGTCCCGGCTGTAGTTAAAGCCTTACCGGGGCCACGCAAATATCTTTTGAGCACAAACAACACTGTCCACCAAGAGTCAAGTGCCCTGTGGTTGCTGAGAAGGGGTCACGGATAACATACGCATCTTCCAAAAGTCTATGAGAAAAATTCATTGCTATGAGTTCATGGTCTTTCTTGTCTAATATCGGTCCCTAAAAATTACATATCGACACATAACAAAAGATCATACATCACAGACTTAGAAAAAGGAGGCCTCTTTCCAAAATATTCATAATAGCATTCAAAACCACAAGAAGAGCATTTAAAAGTTACTTTGTCAGGGTTTTCACAAGCCTCTTCGTTCGCCATTTTGATTTAGTTGCGCCCGTAATGCTCATCGACAGCGGCAATATAACTCTTCATTTAAAAGAACACAGGGTGTCTATTCCAAGCAGGAATCTGGAATCCGGAATCCGGAAACGGAATCACGAAAACGGAAACGGAAATGAAAAGGGAAACGGAAACGGAAATGGGCTCGGAAATGGAATACGGAATCTGTGAAAGGTTTCAAACGATCGATTTGCAAAAAAAATTGCAATGACAATACAATAAATAAACAGATAAACACATAAATCAATAAATTACTTGGCATGCATGGCATGGGCAGAGGCGACTACTGTGTGACGAGAGGAGTAGATTCCGGTGAAAAGACTCTTCATACCACTTCGGTAATGAATGCTAACTTCAATGAATGCAAAGCGAGGAGAAAAACTTCAGCTGAGGAGACGTCACTCACAACTAGTTCCTTTAGAAGGAGGTAAGTTTTATGGAGAGAGACTTGTTGAAGACAAGGTGTCGTCGTCAAGTTTTTCCTAAGTGTATTTTCTGGGTTGTCTTCAAAAATCTCATTTTATTTATCCAAAACAACTTACTCAAGAGAACTATGGGGTCCAAAGAAAAAAGAGAATTGTGCATGCCTTTGCTTGAGGCCGCAACTGATTTCATCAAAATATGGTGTCATGTTTAATAAGCCTCTTCAACGTAAAATACGGACGACAACGCAAACTCAATTACACCAGTATTCCATCAGCATTCAGCTTGGCGAAAAAGTACAACTTATTGTTTAAACTCCTGAACTGTGGTCACGTCACGAGTCGGTCACGTAATGGGGACAATCACGAAGTGGGGTTAAGTTATAAAATTTCTTTTATCGGCCTTGTAGTGAAATAAATAAAACTATGGCACACCTTTAAAAGACATATTAACAAGAATATATTTAAGGGAACTGCAAAGACAAACTAAAACAAATTCTCTTTGGATTGTACTAAATTATGCAATGTAAAATTCTTTAATTTTCTATCATTGTTATTTGATTCCGTATAGTCCGTTTCCGTCTACGTTTTAGTGCTGCCGCTTTGGAAAATCGTTGTAGCCATGAAAAGTTTAAGGGTAAGATCCACAGGTTTTCGTTGAACTGCAGATTCAAACAGACAACCTGTCCAACAGAACAACTGAGTTTGAAGTAAGCGGGTAATGCATTAGCCTGAATTTCAGACGTCCCCTCGAGGCCGCATACCGAAGGGACGTCTGATATTCAGGCTAGGAAGGCATTTCATTAGCAAGTATAGTATACTTGCATTCGAAGACTTAGCCGCCGGGACTAAATCCAGTATTTTTTCATTCCCGTATTGTGCAAGCGGCTGATCTGTTACCCCGATAATGCCTGGTCGCTATTGTTAACATTGTCGTTTAGCAATGAACATTGGCAGGTTTGGATTATGTCCTCAACCTAATAGTAATAACGTGTAACGATGTCATCAGAAGTCACTTGTAACACCGCCGGCGTATCGTGAGCACGTCGCACTCATTCAATAAAGTTGTACCGTGTAAATAAGCCTGTAGACTGTTGACAACTTTACTCCGCTTGTGAGACTCCAACAACAACGGACCAAAACTACCACCCTAGGCTGAAGGATAGCCTGAAATTCAGGCCCCAGAGGACACTCATACAGTCTTGAACGCGCACGTGAGATTACAGCTTTAAAATGAACCGGAACATCCTTATCATGCTAAAACGTTACGCTAGACGGAGGCTTTATAGACTTTTATTATATCAAAACGGTTTCCAACTTTGAAAAACTTATTTTCAGTTTATCCATATAAATTTTAATTCGCCTTAAAGAGTGAGTATAACGTTATCTGTCCTCGTTATATGCCGCTCTTAACAATTTTTAACATTCTAACGTTTTGTCTGTAATCTTAACGTCCACGCTATTTTCAACGAGGAAGTTAAAAAAGACCTCCCTTAAGTTGGTGCAAACTTCTGGCAGTCCGTCGGAAACATCCTCTGGCGTGAAGGTTAATGTTCACTTGTTTGCAGCGCTAAATGGCTGATATCAAACTGGTCCGATTGGAACATATCTTTTCGGTGCATCACAAGTTATCTTTTATAACTACTTTAAGACATGCTCTTTGATCTTCATCGAATTAAAAGTTAAAAACTCTCGCTGTATGACTCGGCATCGTCTCTTTTAGTTTCCCCATCATGGCTTCCATTCTCGTCTCCCTAGGAAGAAAAATAACACCGTTGCAGGTTGGCAGTCAATGGATTTGACTGAAATGAAGGCTAAAGAGTAAAAAGTCTCAACACTTCCCTGACTTTATGATTTAAACGCTATCTTAAGCCTAGAATCAACTTTACATGCAAAGGATCTGATTGTTGTAGATTGGTTTTTATTATTAATTTGTACAGTCTGCATAAATACCTGTTTATGATAAATAAATGAAGACTGGAAGATACCGGAAAATGTAAAACCCCGGAAATATTGGCAAAAGTGAGGACAGTGGTTCTAACCTCTTTAATCATTTAAAAACAAAAACAAGCAAGAAAACAAAAACATACACCAAGACGTATTTGGAAATCTAACAAAATAAACAAATAAATAAATAAATAAGTAAATAAATATGCAAATAATTAAATACTATTATAAAACAAAAAACTCCTCGTTTCTGCATCCTCAATTTTCCGTTCAAAATCATTGTCCTTACAATCCACTGCTTCGCATAGCCAAACTCCCTGATATGCTGACCTTTCAAAATGGCGTCAGACGGAAAGATAACGAGTTTATGCGTATACAAGTACATATTAGGGAGCTTAAGCAACTACGACGACGTCGAAAACGACGACTTCAAAAAACAATAGGTTTAATGATCAAAACAAAAGCTCTGCACGTGCATCACGCTTTTTAGTACATTTCTTTGACGTCCACTGCACGACTACGACGTGAAACCTCCTAATTTGCCGTTTCATGGAGGACGTGAACATACGACGACCAATTTTCCTTAAGAATTCAACTCCAGGAAAAGTCGCCTGCATTTGACAAATTGAGCGGGTCCAAATAGACGCGATTAAGTTTGAAAGAACGCTAATTCATTTTTTTAACGACTGTTCCACTGCCGTCGTCGTCGTCCTAGCCTCCCCGCAGACGTCATTTGAGGTTCGTTTGTCACGCATTCATTTCTCCCCCACGGCAGGAGAAATGAATGCGTGACAAACGAACCCCAAAGGACGTTTGCGGGCAGGCTATCGTCGTCCTTGCTTAAGGTCCGTATTGTCTGCCAAGTGTGTGAACACAACACCGTTTTGTGCCGCAACTTAGGCACTAGTGTTCTATCACTAAGAGTGAACATAACCTTAATGAAAAATTCTTTATACCTCCTCCTCATCCTCGTCATCCTCCTCCATTTCTTGCTCTTCTTCATCTTCATCCCCTTCTTCTGCAGGTTCTTCTGCTGCTGCCTGCTGTGAGGATATTTCCTGCCCATGTAAATCCCTGTTTTTCAGATTTCCAAGCCAAAACGCTTCATGACACTTGTTGAGTGTGAGCATTGCCTGAAAGACACGCCAAGCCTTAGCTCTGTACTTAAATCTTGTGGCTCTACAGTACTCTAGGAAAACATTTCTAGCCGTCGAGTGAGTAGCCTGCAAACGCAGACGTATTTCCGGTCCTTACAGACATGGGACGACTGGAAATACACCTGCGTTCGCAGGCTATCGAGTAAGTAACTGAAAAGGGAGTGCTTCAGTAAAAGCAAAAGGCACGTGGTGTGAAACAAAGAATGTCAACACCAAAACTGATCTAAACTGTGCCTTTTTAGTTTCGTTTAGGGTAAGGGTTTCAACTCTTTGACGTCCGCTTTGGTCGTTTTTGGTCCATATGGACCCATGCATATTATCCTTCCTGGACCCATTTAGCTTTCCATTTAAGCCTATATTAAGGAGGCAATAAGCAAAATCATCAAGGATAGATCTTTCCTCTGGTACCTCATTTAGCAAATTTTGACCAATCCCGACAGAGTTACACACAAAAAACAAGCAACATTTGGGGGGAAAAATCCACCGCAAATTTTGCTATTTACCTGCTACTCTTTGCAGATTAAAATTGTCCTTTTCTGGAAAGAAAGCCAGCCAAAATTCCATGCGAAAGAAAGACGATAAAGTGGGCAACAAAACTGCTTATATAAAGAAAGGTAATGGAAAAAAGATTAAAGCAAGAAAGTGTGACTTTGCATACCTTTACTCTAAAGACAAAAGTCTCCAGACATTTCTTGACAGCAGGCACATGGTTAGTAAGAGATAAATCTTTGGTCACCTAGAAATCAAGAAGAAAATATAGTAGAAGTGGGGTGGATTTTAACCAAAAGAAATTGATTATGAACTACTAACCTTACTGTGACCACAAAAATGTTGAAGGGATCTTGTACTCTGCTGCAGGTTTTTTAGTAATCCATGAACGTCATCCTTTTATGGAAAGAGGAAAGAATTTATTAATCACCATAATTGCAACAGCAATGATAATAAAGGTTATAACGATCATGATCATGGTGTTGATAGTGAGAGTAATTAGGGCAACGAGAAAACAAATTTTATTACATTAATGACGATGTTGACGCAAATGAGGATGATGACGATGACGACGATAGTGATGATGATGACGTTGATGATGATAAGGATGATGATGAAGACGATGATGATTATGAGGATGATGATGATAAGAATAATGATGATGATACTGATGATAATGGTGATGATGATGGATGATGACGACGACGAAGACGATAACGATGATGATGACGATGACGATGTTGATGATGAAGGTAAGGACGATGTTGATGATGATGATGATGAAGATGATGATGATGAGAAAGGCACACCTAAGGATACGAAAACTCACCTTATGAATCCTCAACATCACATCTAGTACTGGCATTCCCAGCCTTAAGAATGTCTCCACATATAAACGTCCATACTGTGTAAAAAAGCAGTGACATGTAAACGTCCATACGCGATAAAATGAAAATAAATCAAT